TCAGAACCACATAGAGTGAGGGCTGACATACACTGATACTCTTGTCTAGACACTTTTAAAACTTGCTATTGTATATATCCTAGGGGGAACATAAAAGAAATAACTTCATGTCTTAAAAGGAAGTATTGGGGCACCTGGGTGGCTCAGTCGGTTAAGCACCTGACTCTTGGTTTCAGCTTGGGTCATGATCTCATGATTCGTGAGATTGAGCCTCTCTGACAGCACAGAGCCCGCTTGGGGTTCTCTCTCCCTCCCTGTCTCTGTCTCTCTCTCTGTCTCTCTGTCTCTCTCTCTCACAAACACACACACAAAATAAACTTAAAAAAAAGAAAAATGGAAGTATTAACATAGTTAAATACAGAATAGTGAAGACAAAGCAGGGTAGAAATTCCAAATGCCTGGCTATGAACACACAGTGCCCCATTATGTGTCATCTCTGGGCAAAGATGCCCAGGCTTTGTGTGCCTCTGTAAAATGGGGGATAATAACAATACCTTATACGGCTACCTTATAGGGCTATCATAAGAATTAAATGAATAATTTAGGGGTATAAAAGGCTGAGAATGGTAACCACCTCTCAAACGCCAACTACTATTAGCACTGAATAAAGAATAATTCCAAATGACCTGAGAAGAGGGTTTCCCCATGTAAGAAAGCCTTTCCTACCTTCCTTACTCTCCACATAATTTTCTACTAGATTTGCCTGCCTCCTCTCTAAGAATATTGGCAATTTTTTGACCAAGGTGGAAGGGAGTTGTTGGAGGAATGGTGGAGGGAGGGACAATTATTTCCCTCTAGGCCACCAGCTCAGGAAGGGCCATTTGACTCTATTCTGGGCTCAGGAGAAGGAGAATGAAGAAAGAAGGAAGCAGAGAACAGAGCAGAGAAAAAAGTGAGAACAGGAAACCCTAGAAGATGAAGGAAGATGTAGTCTGGAGACAACTGTATTTACACCAAAACCAAAACCTGACATTAGCAACAAAAAGAAATATTTAGGATGATTTATGTCTCCTTCCATCAAGAACTATAGCAGAGGGTGATGCAAGCCTCACGCTGTATCTGATACAAAATAGCACTCAGAGGAGAGGCGTCTGATTCAAAACTGAGGCCAAAACATCTAATAATAAAGATTACACGTAGGCATCCATATTTTCTTAGAAAGAAAATAGATACAAATAACTCCTGGTTTCACCAATCACTGAATTTGCAAATATTTGAATATTTCTAATATTTCTCAAATGGGGTCCATGAATGAAATTATTCTTTAAAAATCATTCCCACCAACGGCCACCCTGTTTCCTTTATTCGAGAGCTGAAAATGTCTGCAAGGACAATTTACTTTAACATTTGACTTTACCTACACCCATTTGTTTATCTTGGCTATACAGTGAGAGGGAAATGTTCACCGATACTCACAAAGCAGCCACACTTTCCCTCTGGCAACCTGCAGCCACGGCTGCCTACAAGTTTTACGGCATAACCCAAGTTGGAGTTCCTCCCTTGCAGCCGAGGGATCATCCCTCACCTCAGGTTAAGTCCCGATGAAGAACCTGAAGAGCAACATGTCAAAACCTATCACTTGCATGTTCCTCCGGGTGGCTGAGTCACGGCCTCACTGGCAAGGTCTTCTTTACCAAGCCCAGGTCTTCCTTTAGGGCCCTGGTTCTGTGATCCAGGCGGTGAGCAAGGGTAATATTATCAATAAGATGGGCGTGGCCTTATGACAGAAGCAGAAAAGCCTGACCTACCCAAAGTTTCTGTGTTTCTACATAACCATTTGGTAGCACTCAGCTGGATGTCCAAGATGCAGCACACACAAGGGCTGGAAGGAGCCACTCCTGTCACTGCTACCATCTAACCGATAACACCACTGATGGCCAGGGAGGCTGCAAAGTTCCTGGGTTACGATGCTAGGTCTAAAACACCTCTCTGTCTCCCAGCCCAATGCACTTGCCTGTTTATCTTACGTCTTTGTTTCTCTTTGTCATTTCCCTTTTTTTTTCATTATATACCTAGATATGCATAACTGCAGTTCAGTTTAATAGATTCCGCCAAATGGAATGGTATGCGGTCTGAAGTGCATATTCGTGTGTGACTAAGCATACGCGCACACCCCCAAAAGCTCATTTTTAGTGTTTTTATAATACCCCACAAGCAAAAAACATTCTTAGCTAAACATAAGAATGCGTGGAAATGCTTTGAGACCAATGAACAATTATATGAGAGAAGGGTCTCAAAAGATGTGTTGCACTGCTGGGTAAGTTTGCTCTACGAGCAGAGTCAAGGTTGCGAACTGCAAACATCTCTACTTTTCTTGCCTCGAGCTGGCTATCAGGTTCTGTCTGTGCCATCTGGGTGCACCAGAAGCGTACGGTGATTTTGCAATAAACATGTGGTAACTGTAATGTCACCAAGAAGCAGAATGACAGTGCAAAAATAAAGAGAAAAAACGAGGTCAGGTTTTAAAACGAAATGTATCCTTACCCTTTGAAGTTGAGAAATTCACATAAATTATTGATATCTGATACTACTGATTGAACATGACAAGTGAAATAAAGAAATGAGGTCACTTCCTGAGGAGTTCAGCACATACACGTAACACGCACATGTACACAGACAGACAGCCGTGGTTACCCGCAGGGATCCCCCTGCTGACCTGAATCTCCATCACTGGCAGGGACCTTGCGAATGACCACCTACGAGAGCAGTGTACTGTCGGTACCTTGCTCTTATTCGTCATTCTGTCCCCAGAATGTATTGCTGCACATGTGTCCTCAGGTTTTCCTTCCTTCCTTCCTTCCTTCCTTCCTTCCTTCCTTCCTTCCTTCCTTCCTTCTTTCCTTCCTTCCTTAGCACCAGGCTCAGATTGCCTACATGCTACAACCTGCAATCTCACAAACATGGGACCAATACCCTAGAACACTTGGGTGCCTGCATGTTAGGTTTCATTCAATACCATGCTAGGACTTTGGTAAATCATTGCCTGATGACCAGATTCCAAGAGGAAATGTACAATTGGAATTATTTTAAAAAATCACATCATCTAGGGGTGCCTGGGTGGCTCAGTCGGTTAAGCGTCTGACGTCGGCTCAGGTCATGAACACACGGTCCATGATTTGGAGCCCCGAGTTGGGCTTGTGCTGACAGCTGAGAGCCTGGAACCTGCTTGGATTCTGTGTCTCCCTCTCTCTCTGCCCCTCCCCCACTTTTGTCTCTCTCAAAAATAAACATTAAAAATTTTTTTTAAAAATCATGTCATCTATTGTTCCTTTTAGTTTGTCTATAAAGACACATCTATGGCTGATAAAGTTCTTGACATGGCCCTGCTTTTTTGGCCAAATGATTAATCTAATATATATGTATATATTAGATTTCTAATATGAAAATACCTCAATTTACTAAATTTATATCTTATTGGACAACTAAGGATTCCTAGATTATACTGAAAATCTGAATGCATCCAAGTATCTGACAAAGATATGGAAGTAAAATTGGATTAGGGGTCAGGTATCGAAAACTATCTGTGTAGGGGCTCAGTAGAGATAAGGCATTGAGTTACAACTGTTTTTTGTTACTACATATTTGCTGCCTTATCCCCTTCAATGGCCATAGAAATGTTATCCTAGTTCCTCTTCCTCATCCTCTTTAAAATACAAGTGAGGAATGTTGACTTGAATTATCCAGGTAACTCTCCAGATCTGAAATATAGTTAGGATTAGCAAACACACCCCAAGGCTTTAAAAGTGAATGGCTGAAATTGTGGAAAAAGCCTAAATGTCCATCAACTGATGAATGGATAAAGAAATTGTGGTTTATATACACAATGGAGTACTACGTGGCAAAGAGAAAGAATGAAATATGGCCTTTTGTAGCAACGTGGACGGAACTGGAGAGTGTGATGCTAAGTGAAATAAGCCATACAGAGAAAGACAGATAGCATATGTTTTCACTCTTATGTGGATCCTGAGAAACTTAACAGAAACCCATGGGGGAGGGGAAGGAAAAAAAAGAAAAAAAAGAGGTTAGAGTGGGAGAGAGCCAAAGCATAAGAGACTCTTAAAAACTGAGAACAAACTGAGGGCTGATGGGGGGTGGGAGGGAGGGTAGGGTAGGTGATGGGCATTGAAGAGGGCATCTTTTGGGGTGAGCGCTGGGTGTTGTATGGAAACTAATTTGACAATAAATTTCATATAGTAAAAAAAATAAAAAATAAATAAAATGCGCCTCAAAAAAAAAAAAAGAGTGAATGGCTGAATATATAGCATGGATAGCAAAGTATAGAGACACTCCAAAAAAAGTAAAAATAATGTCTGGTACAGAAGGCCAGCTGCATTCTTTCACTAAAAACCTACAAAACCTGTAGTATAAGGAACTTAATCTTTTTTTTTTTAATGTTTATTTATTTTTGAGAGAGAGACAGAGCATGAGTGGGTGAGGGACAGAGAGAGAGGGAGCACAGAATCTGAAGTGGGCTCCAGGCTCCAAGCTGTCAGCAAAGAAGCCAACACGGGGCTCAAACTTGCAAACTGAACCGTGAGATGGTGACCTGAGCAGAAGTCTGATGCTTAACCGAATGAGCCACCCAAGTGCCCCTAATATAAGACTAAATATTAATGGTGTAATTGTATTTTCCTCCCAAGAAGTGAGAGAAGGAAAGAAGGAAGACGGGAAGAAAGACAGGCAGGGAGGATAGGAAGGAGGGAGGGAAGAGGGAGGGAAAAAGGGAGGGAAGGAAGGAGGAAGGTAGGAAGGAAAGAAGGAAGGAAGGAAGGTAGGAAGGAAGGCAGGAAGGCAGGAAGGCAGGAAGGAAGGAAGGAAGGAAGGAAGGAAGGAAGGAAGAAAATATGGAAGTGACTAAACTTTTGCCTCAGAGGAAAGAGGTGTAATGATTATCGACTTAATAATGCTTGCATCAAATACAAAGTTTCTCTTTCTACCATAAAAACATGCAAAGTAGAATCTTTCATTTTCTTCACTTATCAAAAGAGGTAGTTTATTACCTTCAAAGTCCACATCTCCAACCAGTTTTGTCTTTCCTGTCACTGGGTCGTGGACATAGTTGATACCCACGTCAATTACAGCAGCACCTTCTTTAACCATATCAGATGTGATCAACTTAGGAATACCTGAAAGCAAAACACAGTTGTAAAACACTCTGGAAAATATTTAAACTTTGTCCTTGAGCATACCAAAGGTTTATACAGCTAATGTTTTGTTGTCATGGCTTTAAAAAAATATACAACAGACACTGTTTCTAGGAAGAGACCAACGGCACTTGATCATTTCCAATGAAGCAGAAGAATAAAGGCAGCACATGGGGGCTTCTGTGCTTAAAATCCTACCTGGATTTACCCTTTCACCTCAGAGATTGCTATCAGATTTCTCCAGATGGATATCCACTAGAGTCGCATCCTTGTATATTTCACATACTATAAATAGCATAGGGACATCATGGCTATGAAACAGGCTCCTGTTGAGGTTGGGTGGAATGAAAACTACTTGGAAATTGGAGGTAGAGACAAAGAAGGGTGAGGTGGGTGGGGGTGGGTTGGATAAAAAGAAAAAAATGAAGTGAAAATAATTTAAATGCTCAGGGTGGTGGTAAACTTTAAAGTGCCACACACATAGTGGTATCCTATCAACTCCAAACATGAAGTGTTATTTTGAGCTTTCTTCTTATTTTTTCTTTGCTTCTTTGATTCATTATGTCTGTATATGACTTGGAAAGGTATAAGATATACTAAACTCTACTATTTCTCCATTGCAGTTGGAAAGATCGCTCTACAGAGAGCTTACATTACCATGCATTTTCTATAATTATTTTCAAACTTTATTTCAAGTACAACAGCACCAGCTAACAATGGTTAATGTTCCAGTTATTTTTGTTAATAATTAAAAACCATTCCTAAGCTTAGCGACTTAAAATATTTTATTATTACATTTCATGGTTCTGTGGGATGACTGAGCTCAGCTGGATGGATCTTCACTGGAGTCTTTCACATAGTTGAACTCAGACAGTGGCTGAGGCTGGAGTCACCTCAAAATGTGACTAGGCTGGTTGTCCAAGATGGCTCACTCACATGGCTACAGTTGTTGCTCATAGTTGGCGGAGCTCAGTTGGGGCTGTCAACTGGGGCATACAAGCATGGACTCTCCTGTGGCTTGGGCTTCCCACAGCCTAGCGTCTGGCTTCCAAGAGTGAGTGCTCCAAGAGACAGGAAGCAGAAGTTGCCGGTCACTTAAGCCTAGAACCTGGGAGCTGGCACAATATCATTTCTGTCATATTCTATCAGTCAAGCAGTGACAGAATCTAGTTAGATTTAAGAGGACAGACAGAAACTCCATTTCTCAGTGGGAGGAAAATCAAAGATTTTGTGGCCATCTTTAGTCTATCACAATGCTTCTGGTGGACACCGTGTCTTGCAGGTGATTTACTCATTTTCACATTCTACATCCTTTGCATGAAAAGGACTCAATGTTGTGTGGTCAGAGGCCTTCTTCTACCTAAATAATCCACTTACGCATTCCAGATGGCATATGATTTTTAGTACAATTAAGATTTTAATGGCTATAAAGAAACAGTCAGTGCTAAAATAGATGTAGCTACCTGATACATTCCTTAGTCACATATTAATATAACCAATGAGGCATCAATGTTTGAGATATGTTTTTTTTCTCATGCTTTCCTACCCTAGCCCATAGAACTTCTTTTTATCAGTTCTAGCATAGATATTGAGTATTGTTCTAAAGATAGTAATAAAATCCCATTTTTTTCTTGGAATCCAATAGAAAAAGAAAACCTAGGCTTTTGGCTCCCTGAGCAGTGCCATGGCAATCTGAAGAACAAGCACCTTAAGAAAGGCAGCATAAAGGGAGCCAAGAAGAAAGTGATTGATCCATTTTATAAGAAAGATGGGTATAATGTGAAAGCGCCAGCTGTGTGCAACATAAAAAATATTGGAAAAACACTAGTTATAAGAACTCAAAGAACCAAAATAGGATCTGATGGCCTCAATGGTCATGTTTTCGAAGTGAGCCTTGCTGGTCTGCAGAATGATGAAACTGGATTTAGAAAGTTCAATCTAATAACTGAGGATTTTAGGGCCCAAACTGCCTGACTAATTTCCATAGCATGGAACTTACCTGTGACAAAATGTATTCCATGGTAAAAAAAAAAAAAAAAAAAAAAAAAAGGCAGACCATGATTGAAGCCCATGTTGATGTCAAGGTTACTGATGGTTATTTGCTTCATCTACTTTGTGTTGGTTTTACTAAAAACTGAGACAATCAGATTTGGAAGACCTCTTATGCTCAGCACCAACAGGTCCACCAAATTCAGAAAAAGATGACGGAGATCATGACCCGAGAGGTGCAGACAAATGACTTGAGAGAAATGGCCAATAAATTGATTGCAGATAGCATCAGAAAAGACATAGCATCAGAAAAGCCTTATCAGTCTATTTATCCACTCCATGATATCTTTGTCAGAAAAGTCAAAGTGCTGAGGAAGCTCAAGTTTGAATTGGGAAAGTTCATGGAGCTTCATGGGGAAGGCAAAGCTGCTGAGGACGAGACCAGTGCTATATTGAACGAGCTGATGGATATGAGTCTTAAACAGTCCAAGAATCGGGGCTCCTGGGTGGCGCAGTCGGTTAAGCGTCCGACTTCAGCCAGGTCACGATCTCGCGGTCCGGGAGTTCGAGCCCCGCGTCGGGCTCTGGGCTGATGGCTCAGAGCCTGGAGCCTGTTTCCAATTCTGTGTCTCCCTCTCTCTCTGCCCCTCCCCCATTCATGCTCTGTCTCTCTCTGTCCCAAAATAAATAAACGTTGAAAAAAAAAATTAAAAAAAAAAAAAAAAACCAGTCCAAGAATCTGTTCAAAATTCAGACATTTAACGGTGACAAAAAGTCTTATGTGTGATGTTTAATTATCGATCATTCTTTTTAAATAATCTAAGCTTGGTGAATTCGATGTTCCAATGTGAACTTCTCTGAGTTGTTGTTTGGATTTTATCCATTGCTCTTAGTTACTAAAGAGCTCTGAAAGGGTAGCGATCTATTTTAAGCTGTAGTGATCCGGATGCAAGTTTTATAGATGGTTAATAAAATCTTTTCTTTTTTTAGAAAAGCCATAAGTTGATTATAGATAGCTGCAGAAAATATTTTTAAAATGAAAATGTTGATGAAATAGTTACTAAAATCCAGCTTTTTGAGAAAGATCCAGATTTCTCTCTCGATTGTAATAGTTCATTACATTTGCTCTGAGAATATCAGACTGGCAATAACAAATGCACAATTTTCAAAATAGAGATAAATGTGAGCTTGATTTTAATTGTTAGGAAAATTAAAAAATAGAAAAACCTTAAATGTGTGTTTATTTTTTTCTGATGATGACATCACATATGTCCACTGTAGAAAATCTAGAAAAAATCTAAAAGTTTAAGATAAAAATAAAAATCACTATAATCATGCCATTCAAAGATAATAAGTATATTTTTATTGTATTTCTTTCTAGGATTTCAAAATATTTATATATTAGATATAAAATATGATACCTATAACTTTGCTTATATTGTGACTATAAATCCTACCATTTTGCCATTAAAGTTAAATTATGAACATTTTTCCATTTTATCAATTATTTGAAATTTAAAACCTACATGAAATAATTTATCACATGGATTATCATAATAAGTTATGCAGTCCTGAACTCTAATATTTTGCTATCATAATTAAATGTGGTGATGACCACTTATGTTCAAAAAACTACAGATGGTTTCTTAGTTGCAGCATCAGATTTGACAAAGTTTTTCACTGAACCCTTATTTACACGATGGAAAACTGTGGGTTGGATGAAAGCTCCAATTGGTACAATCCTGGATAGTTAAATAACGTATTCCAAAGCTATTGGTCAATGCATCTGTAGGAAGGTCTGCAGAGGTCTTCCATGAAAAGTATTTGTCAGTACCATTTTCCAAATTTTTAATAAAGAACTTGGAAGAACACAGTCACTGTTATGGTTATTTTATCTTTGTTTTCCTCCAGGTCTATTTTCTGCCTTTCTCTGCTCTCGTCTATGCCAGCGGCAGGGCTAATCCTTAAAGAGGTCTTGTGTGCTACCTATATCTCCTGGAACCCTGTGACAGCCTTGAGGACAAGCTCAAGCTAGCCTACTGGAGGATATAAATCCTGTGGAGGGAAGCTGAGTAATTTCAGCTGAGGCCATCCTACACGAGTCAGACTCGAGCTAACCACCAGCTGAAGGCAGATGCTTGAGCAAGCCCAGTCAAGATCAGAAGAAACAAGGCACGGTCAATGTAACTGACCAGCTGAACCCAAATTCATGGGAAATAAAAAAAAAAAAAAAAAAAGTGATTCTTTAAGGTGATTGAGTTAGTTTTGTTTTTGTTTTTCTTAACACAGCAATAGCTGCATAGCCCCATATTTGTAAATGAACAAAATTGGACAGAATAGCTAATAGGTAGCCCACTTTGGAATGATGGACTATACAAATTGCAAGAAAAATTTAAAAGGGGACAAATGTATAATTCTGACCAGGTGCTTTACTTGACTAAAAGCTCATTAAAAACTATTAGGCTACTCTAAGACAAACAGTGTCCAGATATAAGGATATAATGTTTTCCTCTATATTTTTAGCAGACTCTCTCTGGAGCCATTGGTTACATCCAGGGGCTGGTCTAGAGAAGGATAATTAGAATGTATCTAGAACTCATGCCATATGGAGCAAGTGCTATCGAACTAGTTGGTTTAATTGCTTACTACCAGTCTGCAACAGGGTAAAAAAGCTTCTGCACAATGTAAAACAACTATATCACTAAACACATTGTTTGATTCAGGTAGCTTTATTTATTCATAGCAATGTGTTTTCAGTGAAGTATGTTGATTTATGTTCTGGTGCAGCGCCTTATCTTGTTGTGGACCTAAGGTTCCCAGAGGTAAGAAAGAGTCATGGACTAATACTGGTCCACACACTGAATACCTCTGAAATAGAATGGTTGAATAAACTCAGGTTGCCTATCTAAGGAAAAACAAAACAAACAAAAACAACTGAAAACGAAAGCAGAACCCAATAATCGTGGTCCTGTTGTCAATATGTTAAATGAAGA